ATGACTCCCAGAGCATAAAAAAAAAATAAAAATAAACAGCACTTAACCTACAACTCCAGTGTCCAAAACGCCACATAACACGTATGCCTTCACGTAAATTCCTTCGACTCAATTAAATTGGAACTCTAGCAATTAATATGGGCAAAAAGCAATCAAGATCAAGATTGTGTACCTTGAAATGAAGATAAAGCCATGATTCCTTCTAGTAATTGAGTTCCTGTTTTGAAAAATCCTCGCCTTCAATCTGCCCAATCGTGAAATGATGCTCCCTGATTTGCTGTTAACAACTAAATTTTACTAGTCTAGAATAATGGTCTCCATTTAAATTAGTCATAACTAATCAAGGAAAAGCAAATTAAGTGGTTCTAATTCATGAAAATTGAATTGCATCATAAAAACTTGGCATGGATGAGGATACATCATACATCCTAATAGACAAATTAATTACATTATTACAATACTACAATCTTGGAAGATTATCCAAGATTAAGTAGTAGCAATTGGTGACACCTCTCAATCAAATAAAACCATGCCTGTTACCAATATGGATTTATGTACAAGACTACACCAACTGATAGCAGAACAATTGCATAAGTAATCAAAAAGCTGAAGTAGAAAACATCCATATCTATCAAACTGCCTTCTCTTTCTTCGTTTAAGGAATTTGATACCTTTGGTTGTGAAGCAATTTCCTGGCAACTTTTATTCAATGGAGGTCCACAAAGAAGAGGGTTTCCCTCATAACTGCTTTTGTCAAAGGTCCCAAATTGTCCTTTTCCATATGGGATAATACCAGAAAGATTGTTGTGTGCAACACTAAAAGCAGCCAAAGAGTTTAGCTGAATTAGTTGAGATGGAATCTCACCATTCAAATCATTGAAAGAAAGGTCCAAGCTCTCAAGTTGCTTCATATTTGAAAAGGCAAAAGGTATGGGCCCTATAAGGTTGTTGTGAGATAAGTTAAGTGAATGAATTTCACTTAAGTTTCCTATTTCAAGTGGGATTAGACCTGTCAATTTGTTGCAAGAGAGATCAATTCCAGACATATAATTAAGAATGTTGCCTTTATAAGTGTAGGACCACCACTTGGTAACAAGTTCTATTCGATCTTGTATATACCCATCCAACTGCGTATATACCTCCTGTATTAATGCCCTTTCCATTTCTGTGGATGTGTCAACATTGAGTGTTGAAATATTCCAAATATCATTACTCCGTAAAAATGTATCTGGAGCACCAATTAAATGTCCCAAACAAGAAGGTATATGACCAGAAAGTTGGTTGTGAGACAAATCCATGATTCGTAGTTGGTCTAACTCACATATTTCATTGGGAATTTCACCAAAAAAGAGATTACCTTTTAAACACAAGATATTCAAGTCAGAAAGGGAGCTGATCCATTGTGGAATGCTTCCAGAAAGGTTGTTTTCTCCAAGATCTAATATTAACAGAGAAGAGATATTCAAGAATGAATGTGTTAATAGACCCTTTAGTTTATTTCTGCTCAAATAGATATGTGATAAGTATGGTGAAGGTGGGCTAGAGCAATGTGGTAGAGACCCGGATAAATTATTGTGAGATAGGTCCAGAAGCTCAAGCTCAGCATTATAGCAAAATTCCTCTGGAATGGAACCCTCAAAGTGATTGCTAGACAAATCCAATTCTTGCAAATAAGTGAGATTCTTTATCCATCTTGGAAGCTCCCCTGACAAATTGTTGTTGCTAATGTCCAATATGTTTAGATATGAAGACCTAGAAAAGTAGACATTCAATATCTCCCCTTCAAAATTGTTTCTATCTAGATACAATTCATTCAATGATTGAGACTTCAATACACTAGGAGGTATTTTTCCGGTCAGGTTGTTATTTGAAAGTCTAAGATAATATAATGAGCTTCCTGTAACAAACTTTTTTGGTAATGTTCCAGAGAATTGGTTGCTAGACAAGTCTAAATATTCTAAAGAGTTCATACCAACCAACCACTTGGAAAATTTTCCTCCTAAGCCATTTCTAGACAAGAATAACCATGTTAAAGATGGAAAAATCAAACTAATATTTAATGGGATTTCACCTTGTATTTGGTTATTTGAAATATCTATTTCCAAAACATCAAGATTAGGGTGTGATGGCAAGTGGAAAGAACCCACGAAAGAATTGTTCTTCATGACAACAACCTGTAATCTTGTATTATTTTCAAACAACCAATAAGGTAAGGCTCCCATAAATTTGTCAAACGAAAGATCGACATATCTCAAATCGTATAGGTAATAGAGAAGGCTAGGAGGTTTGGTGAGTTCCTTATTTGCCCTACAGTTTGACAAACTAAAGACTCTTGGTTGGAACTTTGGAACCCTTGTTTGAACATGATCATGTTCAGGAACCAATTGATTGAAATCACTTAAGAAGACTTTAAGGTTGGAATGGTTTGCAAATGACTTGAATGAATTTGGAACTTGAAATTTATTATTTGAAATTGAGAGATATCGGAGCAAAATAAGATCAGTTAAGGGAGAGGATGCAACATTTCCAGTGAATAGATTTTGGGAGATATCCAAAAGTCGAAGAGATGTCAAGTTAGCCAAGCAAGAAGGTAGTATTCCTACCAATTTATTTCCAGAAAGATCCATCTCTTCAAGGTTCTTCAAATCACACCAACCTTGAGTTGGTAAGGTTCCTATGACCCCACAATTTTTTAGAGATATTGACCTGAGAGAAGCTAATGCCCCAATATTTTGTAGAAAGTTAATGCTAAGAGGGGACTGATCCAAGAAAAGTTCCTCTAGATTGCTCAAAACTTGTGAAGCTGCAAAATGGTTATCATATTAGTTATGAATATGTGTTGCTCAAAAAAAAAAAAAATTATGACTATATAGAAATTGATTTTAAAAACACAAGCAATAATATTATAGAATGCCATCTATGTAATACTTACTTTGAATAACCAAGGTTTGGTTTAGATGATAATTTTCTTTTAAGTAGAGTTTCTTAAGTGATGGGAATGCCTTGAGTGATAACTGTGCTGGCACACTGCTTTCCTCAGGAAATATTTTATTAAGATAGAGAGTTTTTAACTTGCTGAAGCTTGTATTTGCTGTGGATGATAAAATGAAAATGAATATTATGTTGAAGAGTTTTGAACAAAGCACATATGTAATAAGTTGAAGAATATGCCTCTATCAAAACGGAAAGTAAAACAGACAACATATAGTCACAATGTCATTTTGTCAATACCATTAGTGGAAACAAATTGGTCGAGTTTGTTGTAGCTCATGAATAGCTTTTCTAAGCTTCTTAAAGCATCAAATTCTAGGAGAACCACGAAGAAAGTTATTAGATCATGCATAAGTAACAAATAAACTGCTTTATGTTTTAGAAGGAAAAAAAAAAAAGAGGAAAAGATTAAAGTATGCCTCAACTTACTTGTGACATCTACTAATCCTTTTAGATTGTTTTCTTCTATATTCAAAGATTTTATATTTGAAAATTCACTGACGAAAGATAACACATTGTTGTTGAAGAAATTATTACTCATATCAAGGACCTCTAGATGGACAAACCTCAAATTTTGATCATCTGCCAAAAATATATAATCAAATTACAACTAATTTTGTTAATATTAAATATTAACTTAGGAAACAAATTAAATATATGTACCTTGGGAAGATTTGAGGCTTTCAATGTTATTAAAGCTTATGTCTAACACCTTTAAGTTTCTTAGATTGCCCAATTCTGTTTAAGCTCATCATCAAAATAAAAGAAAAGAGGTATGTTTAATTCCAATAAAATATTACAGGATAACACAACTTTTTAAAGAAAAAATATAATAAAAATGAAAACAAGTGAAAGCAAGCTTAATTACCTTTTGTACTCAAAGTCCCATTTAGTCTACAATTGGACAGGATTAGAGTTTTTAGAGATGAAAAACTACTTAAATATGATAGAATGTTGTTGTTTAGGTCCGTATTATCACTTAAGTCGAGAAATTCCAAATGGTGAAGTCTTGATAGCTTTTCAAAATCAGCTCCTACAAATTAACAATTCAAAGCATAAAGTCTTTATTTACCATAATCAATATTATATAATCTCTAGTAAACATATAATAAAATTTGTTAAAATTTTACCGTTTCTATGGTTTGATGCTATCAATAAGTTGCAATATGCTAGTCTCAGAGACTTGAGAGATGGAAGTTCACTCAAAGATGTTAAGATATTAATATTCAGGTCATTGCCACTTAGATCAAGGATTTTCAAATTTCTCAAATTAGAAAACCTCATGAAACCTGCAATACAATTTCTTGTAAGTCAAGTAAGTTAATTATAGGTTTAGTTTTGAGAATAAAAAAAAATATAAATTGGAAGAGAAACAATAAGGAAATGCTTTCCCATACACCAAAGATGTATTAGTTGAGTTCTATTTAAGCTCACCAGCAAAACAAAAGAAGGAAAAATATGTTTAATCTTAATCAAATATTACAATATAACACATCTTTTTAAAGAAAAATTATAATAAAAATGAAAACGGGAAAAAAGCAAATTGAATTACCTTTAGCACTCAAAGTCCCCTTTAGTCCACAATTCCACAGGATAAGAGTTTTCAAAGATGAAAGACTACTTAGATATGATAGTATGTTGTTTAAATCCATATTAGAACTTAAGTCAAGAAATTCCAAGTGGTTGAGTCTTGACAGGTTTTCTAAATCAGCTGCTATAAATTAACAAATCAAAGCATAATGTCTTTAATTAAAATAATCAATACTGCATCAACTTTGGTAAACTTGTAGCAACAATAAGTTTAAATGTTACCTTTGGTATGATTTGATGCCATTATTAAGTTGCAGTTGACTAGATATAGAGATTTGAGAGATAAAAGATCATTCAAAGATTTTAAGATACTATTATTCAAGTAATTGTAACTTAGATCAAGGATTTCCAAACTCCTCAACTTAGAAAGCCTCTCAAAACCTGCAATATAGGTTGTCACAATTTATCCAAGTTAATTATAGATTCAATTTTCAAAGTAAAAAAGTTTCAAATTGAAAGAGGAAATAATAAAGAAATGGGTTCCTGTAAACCAAAGATGAGTTGAAATCCATCAAATTATACCATTAGTATGGTTCGACACTTGAAGGTAGTTTCCTGCGAGATTTAGAGACTTAAGAGATGAAAGCTCACTCAAAGATAATAACATGTTGCTATTGAAGTCATTCCAACTCAAGTCAAGGAATTCAAAATTGCTCAACTTTGAAAGCCTATGGAAATCTGCAAACATATCAGAGGTTGTTTAAGTTGCTTCAATTAAAAAGAA